TTCCATTCTTTTGAGGGTGCGTGTATGAGATTCTCCATTTCACATCCTCCGGTTCCATTTTAGATTGAAATCCTTTCACACATGTTATAACTGTGTAAGTGAATATGGAAAATGGTGTGAGAAATGTGTATATTGAGCTATATTATATTTTTCAATTCATTTTTACTTCACAATTTAATGATTTCCATACTATATATATTCTAAAAGAAATCATGAAAATTAAAAGACAGACAAATATCTAATTCTGTTTAAGCCAAATCACTATTATATTAAACTTTTTAAGACAGGTTCTTGAAAATTTACATTTTGTAATATCTGGAAATGCACAAACTTTTTTGTTTCCTAAATGTGTTGTTATTGTATTTATTCATATTATGGTCTCAAAATTCATATCCTTTTGATCAGGCCAGCATTGACTGACTCAAAACGAATATTAACTTGCTAGTTTATTGCCACTTAATAGTTACTTTCACAATTTTAGTGCAATTCATAGAAATCTAAATGGGTCACATTAAAAATTGTTTTCTTAAATATCTAGAATATTTCCTGCTTTTGCAAATTATTTATCATTTTATGTTTGCAATATTAATTCTACCTCAATATTAATACATCATGGTATAAAACTAGCAATCAGTCATTTAGAATTATATAACTCAGAATAAGCATTACCATGTTATTTAAAAAGTGATTTATAAGTTCTAGAGCTCTTTTATGCATAATATTTTATTTGATCCTTACAACAAACCATGTATGATTGGGAAGGCAGTCTGCTTCATGTCTATTTTACACATGGAAATATTTGGGATCCCCCAAATTTACTGCCTTGACATTGGTCACTGATTATTAGAGAACAAGACAGAGACCCCAAAACAAATGTGTGACTCCAAAATCAGGGATGTCCTTCTTTGTACCAACCATCTGACATTAGTCACATACACTTTAAAATAAAATGAGAAGGCTCTTCGTGGTTTTGCTTGCCTTTCTCGTTTTTTGTATGTTAAAAATTTCATGTGATAAATTTTTCATTAACATTTTTGATAATTTACAAATCAGATATTCATGTCAAATTATTGTTTCACCATTCAACAGTTACCAGATCGGTTCTTTTTGGTCCATCACCCAGAAAGCCTATCACCGAGACTATAAGATTGCAGCAGAGAGAGTTTTAATCACAAGGCAGTCAAGCGAGGAAGCAGGAGAATCAATCTCAGATCTGCCTCCCCAAAAATGGGGACTCAGGGATATTTATAGGGTTTTCAGTACCTGATACAAAGATACTAGGCACAAATTTTAGATGACTTTTATATTAGATTTTAAATATTTTAAAGAAAAGATAAAAATAACTATGAAAAATGAAAATTCAGTGGCAACATATTCACTTATACTTTAATATTTTATAACTTAACGTAATATATAAGAAAGCATTTCTCTCTTCCACTTTTGAAAACACATTTTGAAATATATGGACCCTATTGATGACATTTTTAGTCTTTCTGATTATTCTGAATTTCTTCTTTCAGTGTTTCTAGTTATATCAACTTGAGCTAGATTGACTGATTCTTTTCAAGCTAGCTCACTTTTGTCATGTGGATTTTTTTACCTCACAAAAGTGAGTTCATTGCTTTTTAACATTAAAAAAATAACATGATATAAAGGTAAGAAGACTAAAACACTGAATAACCAAGTGTGATCTTGTGTTATTTATAATAGAAAAAAATGTTTGGTCTTCAACCATATTCCTGGCACAAAGCTCCTAAAACCCTTGGCATTTCTTGTATTAAAAGAAATAAAAGTGTCTTTTATGTTAATGAGGTGACTTCTGGAAAGCCCTTAGATAACCTACAGATGGCAGCTTCTTGCCAGGGGAACCAATCCTGTGATTAGAGGGTTAGAACTTCCCGTACCCACTCCCAACCTCTGGGGAGGGGAGAGGGGCTGGAGGTTGAGTCAATTACCAGCGGTCAATGATTTAATCAATCATGACTATGTAATGAAGCGTCCATGAAAACCCAGAAGGACAGGGTTCACAGATCTCAGGATGGTGAACACATGGAGGTGCTGGAAAAGTGGCACACCTGGAGAGGGCATGGAAACTCTGTGCGCTTTCCCCATAGCTTGCCCTATGCATGCCTTCCATCAGGCTGTTCCAGAGTTATATCCTTTTATAATACAGCAGTGATCTAGTAATTAAAATGTTTCTCTGAGCTCTGTGAGCCACTCTAGCAAATTAATTGAACCCAAGGAGGGGGCTGTTGAAAGCTCCAATCTGTAGCCAGTGGGTCAGAAGCACAGGTAATAATCTGGATTTGCCATGAGCATCTGAAGTGGGGGATGGAGCAGTCTTGTAGGACTGAAAGTCTTAACCTGTGGAATCTGATGTATCTCTTGGTAGATAGTGGTAGAACTGAGTTGAATTGTAGGACACCGGTTGGCGTCTGGAGAGTTGCTTGATGTTCTGTGGGCGGAACCCCCCAAGCCCCCTTTCTGTGATGGAATTGGATCTCAGAACACCTATTTACCAAGAAATTGCTATTTGATCTAAGAATTTGCCATTGAAAAAATAATTTCATGTTTTATAACAGTATGTAGAGAACATTAATGCTTGACAATACTTTGTAAATTATCTAATATTCTCCCCTGATTTCATGAAACTGAGGAACAAAGAAGTCAAAAAACTTGATCAAGTTCATGCAATTGGGTAATGTTTAAACCAAAATTAAAAGCTGAATTCCTTACACCTCTGAATCCACTTTTCTTCCCCCAATGGATTTTTGCTTCCCAGTATGACCTCTGCAACTCATTTTTGAGTGATAGGTTTCCAAAATACTTATCTAATTAGTTCTTCTCTAAAAATGATAAACATTTTGCTTTTTCCAAATTATTCCCCATCGGGTAATAGATACAATGAAAAGACAACATTGCATAATGGCCCTTCATCTTCTGACTTAAGTCTATTTTTCCCATCTAATCTCTTGCATCTCTCCCATTGGTGTTCCTACTCTGCAGAAAACCAAATTATGTCCAATTCCCTGGGCGTCCATGTAGTTTCTTGTCTTTATGCCCTTGGTTCCCTTTGTGTAAAACACCATCATTTTCTACTTTAGAGTTCCGCTTGTCCACAGAGGCTTGGTCAACCAGCAGCGCCAAGATTTCTAATCACTCCAGCCTAGTTTAAGTCCTTTCCTTGGTTCTGCTCCAAACATGTCTGTGACTCTATTATGGCACTTATTGCTTTGTATATGTCTCTTTATTGGTCTGTGTCACTTAGCAAATTGAAAGCTCCTCTAGTATTTAGCAGTGGCTAGTGAATGAATGAATAATTAAACACGTGAAAAGATTTCAATCTAAAATGGAACCAGAAGATACGGAATGGAGAATCTCATGCATGTGCCCTCAGGAATACGAAACTTAAGAACTGAGAGACTGATTTTCCATAAATGCCTGATTTACAGAAGATCAAAACTTATCTCCTGACCAATGAACATCCACCAAGCATCTCTTCTTATCTTTAAGCCAATGAATTTGCTGCTTGGACTCCTGCTGGACTTGCCTCTCTTTGCATTTCTTGCCCATAAATACAGCCCACCTCAAACTCTCAATGGACTCGCTTGTGGCTTGCTATGGTTTGTGTGTCCCGGACTGCAATTCCTCTGCTATTCCCAAATAAACTCAATTTCTGGTACTTTGAGCTTGCCTCAGTTTACCTCTTTATTTAGGTTGACACATGCTACACTACTTTGCTTCCTTTTCATCTATTCTCTTAATCATTTATGTGTGTGTGTATACGTGCTCATATATAAATGATTTGTAAATAACCACCTTCATAGGAATAAAATTATCAATAAAGCTATTACCTTTTACTGTATATCAGGAACTGATTACACTTAGAAGTTTAACAACCTCAGTCTTCACAACAAACTAATGAGATTGGTGTTATTATTTTGTCTATTTTAAGGATGAGGAAACTGAGACTTAGAAATGTTATGTAAGTTGCCCAAAGTCTCGTGGCTAGAGAGAACAGAACAAGGTCTGGTTCCCAAGCCTGTTCATTACCAAAATCTATGCTGTGAGCCATTATATTATACCGCTTTTGTGGTTTTAGGTGGTTTGGGGTAGATTATAGGTCATAACTTCCAAAGGCTTTACAGTATTTAGGAAACACATCCCAAAAATATTTTCTAAATTGATAGAAATATTTTAGGAAATATTAGGTCTTCTTTTCAGGTAGACAAATACACTAAAACCCTTCTTCTGTAGTTCTTTTGAGACTGGGTAAAGGTAGAGATCACTATGCATTGGGGTCTTATCTAAGTGAGACAGAAAATGCCCAGAGCTAATATTGGGATAGCATGAGAAAAATCTAAAGAAAATCCACATCGTTGCTTATTCAGCATAGCTGAAGGATTAAGCACGGCACTACTTGTCAACTTTGATACCATCCTGTCTTATCTATCAAACAGCTAGAAGCTGCTATGCCGCAAACTGAAGCAATTTTCACCACAGACGGATAAATAAATAATAGATAAAATATAAAGATATTTTTCATCTTTATTTAATGATTTATTTTCATTTGAAAGTTTCAGAAAAGTACCAAAAAAAGTAAAAGTTATTATATATAAAGAAGTAAAATTCTTCTCCTCTTGAGATAATTATGTGGCTGACTGCCAGCAAATGCTGTATGATTTTTTTGTAGATGTAAATAGACCTTGATTTTGACTTCTCTGTTCCTGTCTCTTGTGTCTCTAAACATAGCTCTCTCTCCTACTCTCTCATACAAAAATGGAATAATACTGTACACATTAGCTCCAATGTTACAGCTGTTACATCAAAGGGTTACAAAAAACAGCAATGGAGCCAGACTGCTCTCAGCATCACCGTTAGAGTTAGAGGGGCAAGTTACAGTCTCAGTGACTCAGTATGCTCATCTGTAAACTGTGGGTAAAAAATAGATTGAACTCATCAGGATGCTCTAAGTATCTAAATTCAGACATGTAAATTGCTACAATAATTCCTAGCACAATTTAAACTTATTCTTCTATTTTTTTCTCTTTACAATTTATCATGGTCTTCCAAATTAGAACACATAGACGTACCTCATTATTTTTAATGACTGCAGAGTATCCCAGAGTAGGGAATTACCGTACTAACACACTCATTCTCCAATTAGATGAAACGAAGGAGTTTTCCACTATTTTGTTTTTGCAAACCACAGAGTTATAAATGTATTTTTGAAATATTTTTAATGTACTGTTCTTAAATTCTGCAGGCTAGATTCATAGAAATGGGATTGCTGAGTCAAATATAAAATATTTTAACTTATTTTGACATTACTACCCATATCAGTTCTGCCAATTTGCATAACTCTCAACATTTATGAGTACAACATTTTTTAAACTTTTGGGGTAATATCAATGATTTTTTATGACTTTTCTCATAAATATCTATGTTCATTATTAAAAATGCAAGCAGTGTGTGGAACATAAAGGAATCTATCTCAAATTTCCTCACCTAGAAATAATTAGTGTTAATACATGGCAAACAGTGCTTCAGACATTCCTCACTTCATATATAAGACAGAGTGATAGAAAGAAAAACTGTAGATATAGACACGCAGATCTTTAAAATGATGATATTATATATGCTATATTTAATTTAAAACTATTAAATTTTACCTGAATTAAATAATAAAATAGTGAAACTGAAGAATTTGATGAGCTTCTGAGAAATGGTTCTCTGTCACAAGTGATATTAGTTCCTGCAGTGTCATTACGTTTTTTTAGGTGTCCTAGCATACGTAACCTTACTATGTTGCACAGAATCTCCTACTTTAAGAGCCTCAATGGGAACCAAGTACTCTTCCTTATACAAAACTTAAATATTCTACCAATAGGACACCTTGAATGAAGAGCTAAAAAGACAAAAAGGAGAAGACAAAGACAAGCTTTTCTGACTGTAGTGTCAGTGTCAGGTAGGGTGACCAACCTTCTAGATACCAACCTGAGGTACACTTATATTTGACTTTATCTAAAAACATAATAAAATAATACATAATAACATATAATCTAGTTTTGTTATTTGTTTTCTTTTACAAGAATACTTCTCTAAAAGAATACTTCCCTGCAGCCTTTAGTTCATTTGTCTTTTCTTCTATACGTTAAGACTGAATATAGTCAAACATAAAATTCACTTTGCATGCAGCTCTGCTCTTATCAAGTTGCATTAAACTGATCTCTAGTATTAGTCCAATGGGATGACATCAAACTAATATTTTCTCAATAAAAGTGATTGATCATGGATTCTTTATGATTTTACTGATTTTTCTTACTAGCAATAGCAGGTTTTTAGACACGTAAGTCATACCTCGGAGATATTGTGAGTTCAGTTCCAGATCATCGCAATAAAGTGAATATCGCAATAGAGTAAGTCACACAAATTGTTTGGTTTCCCAGTGCATATAAAAGTTATGTTTACCGTATATGCAGTCTATTAAGTGTACAAAAGCATTATGTCTAAAAAAATAATGTACATACCTTAATTTAAAAATACTTTATTGCTAAAAAATGCTGACCATCATCTGAGCCTTCAGCGAGTTGTATTCTTTCTGCTGGTGGAGGGTCTTGCCTTGATGTTGATGGCTGCTGACTGATCAGAGTAGTGGTTGCTGAAGTTTGGGGGGTCTGTGGCAATTTCTTAATATAAGACAACAGTGAAGTTTGCCATATCAATTGACTCCCTTTCACGAACGATTTCTCTGGAGCATGCGATGTTGTTTAACAGTATTTTACCCACAGTAGAACTTTCAAAATTGGAGTCAATCCTCTCAAACCCTGCCACTGCTTTATCAACCAAGTTTATGTAATGTTATAAATCCTTTGTTATCATTTCAACAATCTTCATAGTGTCTTTACCAGAAGTAGATTCCATCTCGAGAAAACACTTCTTTGCTCATCCAAAGAAGCAACTCTTCATTCGTTAAAATTTTATCATAGGATTGCAACAATTCAGTCACGTCTTCAGCCTCTACTTCTAATTCTAGTTTTCTTGCTATTTCCAGCACATGCAGTTACTTCCTCCACTGAAGTCTTGAGCCCTTCAAAGTCACTCATGAGGGCTGGAGTCAACTTCTTCCAAACTCCTGTTAATGTTGATATTGTGACCTCTTCCCATGAATCACAAATGTTCTTAATGTTAAGTATTTAGAATGGTGAATCCTTCCCAGAGGGTTTTCAATTTACTTTGCCCATATCCATCAGAAGAATCACCATCTATGGCAGTTATAGTTTTACAAAATGTATTTCTTAAATAATAAGACTGGAAAGTCAAAATTACTCTTTGATCCATAGGCTGAAGGATGGATGTTGTGTTAGCAGGCATGAAAACAACATTAATCTCGTTGTACATCTCCATCAGAGCTCTTGGGTGACCAAGTGCACTGTCAATAAGCAGTAATATTTTGAAAGGATCTTTTCTTCTGAGCAGTAGGTCCCAACAATGGGCTTAAAATGTTCAGTAGACCATGTAATAAAAAGATGTGCTGTCATCCAGGCTTTGTTGTTCCATTGACAGAGCACAGGCAGAGTAGATTTAGCATAATTCTTAAGGGCCTTATGATTTTTAGAATGGTAAATGAGCATTAGCTTCAACTTAAAGTCACTGGCTGCATTAGCCCCTAATGAGAGAGTCAGTCTGTCTTTTGAAGCTTTGAAGCCAGGCATTGACTTCTCCTCTCCAGTTATGAAAGTCCTGGATGGCATCTTCTTCCAATAAAAGGATATTTTTTCTACATTGAAAATCTGTTGTTTGGTGTAGTCATCTTCATTTAATTTATCTTAGCTAGATCTTCTGGATAACTTTATACAGCTTCTATGTTAGCACTTGCTGCTTTATTTTCAATTTTATAGTATGGAGACAGGTTCTTTACTTATGAACCAACCTCTGCTAGCTTCAAACTTTTCTTCTGCAGCTCCCTCAGCTCTCTTAGCCTTTATACAATTGAAGAGAGTTAGGGCCTTGCTCTGCATTAGGTTTTGGCTTAAAAGAATGTTGTGACTGGTTTGATCTCCTATCCAGATCATTAACTTTCTTCATATCAGCAATAAGGCTTTTTTGCTTTCTTATCATTCATGTGTTCACTGGAGTAGCACTTTTAATTTCCTTCAAGAACTTTTCCTTTATATTCACAACTTGGCTAATTGTTTGGCACAAGAGGCCTAGCTTTCAGCCTGTCTCGCTTTCCACACGCCTTCCTCACTAAGCTTAATCATTTCTAGCTTCTGATTTAAAGTAAGAGACATGTAACTCTTCTTTTCACTTGAACACTTAGAGGCCATTGTAGAGTTATTAATTGGCCTAATTTCAATATTGTTTTGTCTCATGGAATAGGGAGTCTGGAGGAGAAGAAGAAAGATAGGGAAACGATCCGTTGGTGGAGCAGTCAGAACACACATAACATTTATTAATTGTTTGCTGTCTTTTATGGGCATGATTCGTGGCACCTCAAAACAATTAGAATAGTAACATCAAAGATCACTGATCACAGATCACCATAACAAACAAAATAATATTGAAAAAGTTTGAAATATTGCAAGAATTATGAAAATGTGACACTAAGACAAGAAGTGAGCAAATACTATTGGAAAAATGGCACTGACAGATTTCCTCAATACAAGTTTGCCAGAAACCTTCAATTTGTAAAAAACGCAATATCTGTGAAGTCCAATAAAATGAGATATGCCTGTAATTAGTTTTTAGCTCTCTAAAAAAGAGCATTCATTTTTTTAATCTATAGTCTTATTTTGGTCAATCACCTATTGTCAATCAAGCCCCTTTTGCCATAAATTCATCATATAGGCTACTGGCATCTAAAATGCTCATCATTTTTTTTTTTATGAGGAAGATTAGCCCTGAGCTAACAACTGTTGCCATTCCTCCTTTTTTGCTGAGGAAGATTGGTCATGGGCTAACCTCCGTGCCCATCTTCCTCTACTTTACATGGGGTGCCACCACAGCATGGCTTGATAAGCAGTGAATTGGTCCGCGCCTGGGATCTGAACCCCTGAACCCCAGACCGCCAAAGCGGAGCATGCAAACTTAACCGCTACCCACTGGGCTGGCCCCTTAAAATGCTCATCATTTTTACACACATAAACCATACACAAGAGAACATCATATTGGCAAAAGCCATTCTCATTGGACAGAATCAGAATTAGGATAGCCATGTCACTCCACCATCCAAAGGTGGACTGGGACTTTTAACAACTATCAGAAATCAAAACCCATGAGACTTGCTGCAAACATATTTACTACTCAAGTGGAAGAAATTTTTACATGAGATAGCAATTCGAGAAAATAAAACAATTTCATGTTCAATGAATCGGTTACATACATAGCTGTAGCCTTTCTCTGTTCTGAGTTTTTTATATGAATTTTTTAGTTAGGTGCTGATTTCTACAACCTATGTGCCTCCTTAAAAAGAGCCATAATTATATGTTCTTCAAAGTAGAATACATAATTACTGAATTTTAGATTATATTAAGTCAATTTTCGTATATTTTTCCTGACTTTAGGAACAAAACCACACATTTCAAAAGGAATAAACAGCATGATAATTATATTCCTTTATAACAGTAAAGCATGCTTTTACTATCTTGACTATTTTTATTATAAAGCACTTTATGTATACATGGAAATTATTATAATCATCCCCATTTATATAAGGAAAAGTGATATTACTGGAAGGTAAAACTACCTACACAAAGCCACATGATTTTCAACTGTCATATATTCCATTTAACCAAAATTTATTAAATGGATACTATATACCAGGCACTCTTCTGGGACCTACACATAAGTGGTAAAGAGCTGGATAAGATCCATGCTTCATGGAATTTTCATTCTACTGAAAAGGTATGGTAATGGACAGTGTCAGGAAATAAATATTTAATTATTTATTTAATAGATGTAATTTCATAATTTCCAGATATACACTAATAAAACATAGTGGAAGGATAT